GGAGAAATGGCAGCGGCAGCCGCAGCAGCGACCCAGAGATCTGGGTTCTCAGGGACCTGAGGAGAGGAAAGTGGGCACGCCCTCACCTCCCCCCCTCCTCTCACCGCTCCCATTGGTCATCCTGGCCTCTCCCTCACCCCTCCGAGAGCCCAGCGCCCTGGAGTGGAAGCCAGCCCTCCAACCCCACCGCGCGTGTGCGGCAACGAGCGCCTCTGGCCTCACAACGAGCCACGCGGTTGCTAAGCGACGGGTCCATCTGGCTCGGAGAGAGTGGGCACGCCCTCTGCCGCTGGCCAGGTGCTTGTGCAGGCGCATGCTGTGGTCTGCGTCCATCAGTGGGACCTGCAGATGAAGGATTGAAAGGATGAATGGAGAAGGAAGTAAGGCAAGAAGCAAGGATGGATGGTTCTGGCTTGGAAGATGGAGCTGGCCGGATAGGGCCAGGCTGACCAAGTGGACCAGGAGCCTAGCACTGACATCCCTTCCTCAGGTCATCTTTGAAGGCTCGCCTGGGACAGTGGAGGATACAGTCTGCCCTGTGACCCCGAGACAGGACTGCCTGTGTGGTTCCAGGCACTTTTGCTGAATCAGGGGCTTCAGCGCCTGGAGGCCCAGCCCAGGCCTCCGGATCTGCCCCTGCGAGTAGAGGGATGGGGCTGGCCTGCATGGCTCGGGCCTCCCTGCACTCCCCATTCCTCCCGCTCACCTTGTGGATGTGTGGCCAAGTGGCTGTGTTCAGCCGTGCGGCCGAGTATGATTCTTCTTTTCCCCACCTTGTTGTCTTTCCTGGGTGTCCTGCAGGTGCGCCTGACCTGGCCAAGGCTTCGGACCAGCAGTTGGAAGAGCCGTTGCAGTTCAGCTCTTTGTTTTGTCCTTCCAACACTTCACGTCCCTGCTTCCAGTCTTTCGACTGGGAAGGAGGTCCCTGGGTTGGGGGAGGGGGGTGCGTGTCGGTGGAAGGTCTTCGTGTTGGGGAGCATTCCTTCGAAGGGGCTCTCTCTGCATTTTTCTTTCAACTCACCCTCTCTGTACATGTCTCAGACCTTGAGGTAGCGATCAGCACATTTCCTCTTCCAATCTCAGATGGGATATTCTTGGTGGTGACGCCTGCGGGGGTGGTTCTTGTGGCCCAAAGGATGGCTTGGGGTCCCTGTCAGTCTTGGAATCTCGAAATACTGCCTCAGAAACACTCAGGCTCTCTCTCCATCTTTCCTTCCTGGACCCCAAATCCACACATGCCCATCTTGACGTTTCTGCTCTCTGTGCTTGCTCCATGATTCTCTCCTCCTCCTCGAGGGCGCACGTGTCGTACGGCACAGGGTTCCCACTCCCTTCAGCTGTGTCTAAGCTCCTCTGAAATCCTTCTGCTCGGGTCCTTGCATCCTTCTTTGGAAATCGAGGTTGGGCCCTGTCTGCCAAAACCGGACTGGGGAGGAGATCAAGGTGATCCCTCTGCCACCTGGTTGCCCCAAGGCCTCATTTTCCTGCCAAAAAATAGCACGGTCTCACAACACAACTTGGACCTTCAAACTCCAGGGCGAGGAAAACCCTTGTCAAGCCAGAAGGTTGAGAATGACCCGCCAAAGGAGTTCGCCACACAAGGCAGGCCCCACAGGCCACAAGAACGCACCGGGCAGGCTCTTCCATCAGCAAGTCCCACCCTCTTCTCTCGAGTCAGGACACCCATGTTTCCCTGCTGCGGAGGGCACTCGTTTGTGAGAAATCGGCAACTAGGCACTAAGAAAGGCCCTCCCCTGGCCCTCTCCCTGAGTGCACGGATGCGAGGCACACAGAGACGAGCACCACATGGCTTGCTGCTCTGTCCAAAGGAGGCTGGCCGTGGCTGCCACCTGGGCCAAGACTCTCAGCAGGACAACTCTGGAGGAAAGAGCCGTGAGGACTGAGAGTTTTCTGGGAAGCGTCCTTGCCTCTGCAGAAGGGAGACGCTCGCGGGCAACTGCTGTGCCCAACAGGGAGCAGCACCCTCCAAACCAGGGTCCTCACTGGCCATGCCCAGGTACCTGAGGGAGGACGATGGTCTTGGGGGTGGCTGGTAGAGGGGCGCCGTCAGCCAGAGTGGCATTCAACAGATTCCTGAAAGGCACCGGGAGAGACAGGGGCCCCTGTGCTCTGTGGCCAGGGAATGGGCCTCCTCTGCCCACATCTAGCGGAGGAATCAGCCTCAGGATCAATGGATTGACGGTTGCTTGCCACGACCTCATTT